CCCGCCTCGGCCTCCCAGAGTGCTAGGATTACAGGCGTGAGCTTCCGCGCCCGGCCTAAAAGATTTTTTTAAAAGTGCATAATACATTGACATGGTTTACCAATCAAACTATATAAACTATCTGAAAAAGAATACAGTGAAGCCTTAACACCCTGTCTCAATCTACCCTGATTTCTCCCTGCCTACCTTGGGTCACACCGTTACTGGTTTCTTGTATACGCTTCTGGTGCTTCTTTATGCCAGTGTAAGCAAATATTCGTCTATATTCTCTTTCTCTCCTTTTTCGTACAAAAGGGGACTACTGTATATATTGTCTGCACTTGGCTTCCCTCCCGCTCCTCCACTTAGCAATGCTCCTTGGAGAACTTTCCACGTCAGTTCATGGGGGCCCCTCACTTGTTTATTAGACAGTCCGAGTTCCGCTGTGCGGATGCACATGGTTTGTGTCACCAGGCCCACATCCTTCTCTGTGGCTCCGGGATGGATGAAATGTGCTTTCTTTTCTTCAGCCCCCGGGGACCACCTGCACCTACCACCCACTCCTCCCAGCAGTCATGGCAGTGACTCAGAGGGCAGCCTGAGCCCCAACCCGCGCCTGCACCCCTTCGGCCTGCCTCAGACTCACAGCCCTGCCAGAGCTGCGCCCCGGGCCCCCTCCGCCCTCTCCAGCTCCCCGCTGCTCACAGCGCCTCATGTAAGTATGCGCTGGGCATCTCTGCACAGTCGCAAACCCTCTCTGTCCTGTCCCGTGGGGCTCCCAGAGCGGGGCCACTCAAGGCCATTTGCTTTTTACTCTTGTCTAGAAGTTTCTGGTTAGTGGCTAAAGCAGGGGGATGACCAGCCTAACGAACATTTTTTAAGAACTGCTCATAAATCTCACCTCACTACCACAATTCTGTTCCTTTTCACGTGTCCACTTTCAGTTTTTATTCACATGTTTATTTTACGGAGCTATAGACATAAGGAATAACAATTTTTGTTTTTTTCTCCTCAAAATTATATCATAAATATTTACCATTCTTTAGTGGTCCTTATAGCCTATATAGAAATATCTTTTATATTTTAAATGAGCAGTCTTTGGTGAACTTAAAAATCACTCTGAGATTAGATTCTTTGATGCCCAAAGCTCAAAAACATAGTATAGCCCTTTGTGTGTGTGTGTGTGGTATGACTCCTAACCCAGGAACTCAGATCAGAAATCATGACACTATTCATCTCTTACTTACATAAGGACACCATTTTCCAATCAAAAAAGTAGAATAGATAATTTTTTATTATTTTAAAGAGTGAATTGAATTGATTTCTATGGTTTTAAACATTATAATCAACTTTTTTGAATTTATAATATCATGACTAGCAAATTGAAATGAAATGATATATTTAAAAATTCGGTAAGAGTCATTCATCCATTAGCATAACTTTGAAAATTTGGATTGATTGTGTCCCAGAAAATTCTAGATCTATAGCCATATTCTTATGTATCACCATTACCGAGAACAAGGGAATTAACTCTTTCTACTCTTTACCTTCTCTGCTCAGACCTGACCTTTCACTCCTTGGATCACTAGATTAGCTTTTATCCTGTATGTCTGTGTGTCCTACCATGATTAATATTCTACATGTTTATGGAGGAATCTTCCCGATGTCATACTCTTGCCCAACAATCGTGTTATGTTTCCCTGTTAAGCCCTAATACTCATTATCGTGTGCCCAGCACTCTGCGACTTCAAAACACCTTACCTATTCTAGGCAGAGTGGGCATCTTCCGTTACTTTTCTCAGTCCTGCCTTTTGCTGGGAATACCCTTCTTTTTCTTCTGTAAGTCATCTCCTTTCTTTCAGGAGGCCCAATTCAAGCCTTATCTCCTACCTTAAACCTTCCTTGATCACACAAATTCCTATGAATGTTCTCTTTCTTCAAATTTTTAATGTACCTTCAGTTAATATTACTGTTTAGCATTTAATTACTCTCATCCCTTCACGGATATCAATTCAGTCTTGGTCATGAGCTCCTTGAGAGATGGGGTTTGTTTGGAGTCCTCCATGGCATTCAGCATGGAGCTAACGTGCCATAGGGACTTGGTTTGTTTGACTAGTTAGAAACACATCAATCTATTACGGGTTAAATGAGATGAGCTACAGTTCTCGTGTTCATTGCTGATGCACAATCTGGGACTACTGAAGCCAGAGGCTTCCCTAGAAAGTGCCTGCAGGTGTGCCCCTGGGAGCTATGGCCCCTTAGCTACAAGTGGAGGTGAGAAGTGATTCCTGCTGTGTAGAGAGCACCTTATAAAATGGCGTTTTCACAAGGAGAACAACAAAACTCTTCCACAAAACAAAGGTGCGTGTGAATCCTTCATCACTCCAAGGCCAGGAAATGTCCAGGGATGTGGGAAATGAATTCTCCACTTTTGTTTTTCACATTTTGGCTAGTGGGGTGCTTCCTGGGAAATAATGGATGGTGGCTTCTTTATCTTTGCCCTTGAACCGTAATCCTTGGGTTATAACACTCACGTGGGAGTGTCTTCCCCATCTTTGCTCTCACTTTGAAGTGCCAGTTTCTCCCCCAAAGCAGACGGGGCATCCTTTTCTCTGAGCCATCTGTAAGACGTTAGAATGGATCCTCCTCACCCCACTAGGAGGTGACTCTTCAGTGTGCCCACTTCTTCTTTGACCCTTTTCTGCTCCTTGGTCTGCACAGAAACTGCAGGGATCAGGCCCACTGGTCCTGACCGAGGAGGAGAAGAGGACTCTGATCGCTGAGGGCTATCCCATCCCCACCAAATTGCCCCTAACAAAATCAGAGGAGAAGGCCCTGAAGAAGATCCGGAGGAAAATCAAGAATAAGGTGAGCCCTTCAAATCTAGGCACTTCTGTGAGCAGAGACAATGGGGGGAATTGAGCGAACGTGTCCCCCACTCCCCTTCCCCTTCCCCTTCCAGTGTCTTAAGATGATACATTCACAGGCAGGAGGAAGATATTAGAACTTCCATCTAAATTTATTTTTTTAATCTCAGCCTTTT